GTCACACTCGCTTACGTCATTGTCATGAGACACTCACAAAAAGAATCACGGTTTTAGTAATGCAGTAACGCAGTGTGCTTACGGAAAAGTAACGGTAATCTAATTACCTTTTTTGCAATAGTAATCCCTTACTTTACTCGTTACTTGAAAAAAGTAATCGGATTACAGTAATGCATTACTGCCCATCTCTGCTCACTACAGATGAATGCAATCTTCAATCTACTGACGTGTTGCGGTGAAAAATTTACAGACTGTACCTTCTCGTTCTCATCACTTGAACTGGTTTGTCTTTGATTTGACCAAAGACCTCAAAGTTGCACAAACATCAGCTTCTGCATTAAACTGGTCCAAATTGCTATCAGGGATCATCACTGATCAGCTGGTTCTCAGGTATAACCCAGTGGACAATTGTAATAGTGCCAGGATCCATTATTGCAACTTTGGCGTGTTACTCTAGCCGCGTATATATTTTTGACATAATGGCTCAGTGACATCGATATGGTTGATATACAGTATGTCACTGTCACAGTTATCATCAATCGCACAATCTTTCTATCACTTATATTCCCACTTTTCTCCTATTCTTCAAGAACCTGGTGATGTTCCTCAGCCTCGTGGTTGCCTGGGTGATTCCTGATGTTCCCAAAACCATCGTGGAGCAGCTCAAAAGGGAAAAGAAGCTCCTGGTCGATGTCTTTTTACAGGAGGAGAAGGAGAAATTACAACTCATCCAGAGCCTGTTTGCCAAGGATGCCACCCTCCAGCCCAGCGGCAACACGCTCCCCCCAGGGCAGGATCTCCCGATCCCGGGTCGCTACAGTACTTTACCATCGGGGCCCACAGCTGGAGAGGACCGAGGAGGAGGAGGGCCAAGGGCAAGATGCAGGGCAGCCAGTTTCAGCCAGTTCAACAGGAATATTGCCTCTTCGCCCATGAAGGAAAACGAGAATTCAAAACACACAGCGGTGTGAGATGAAACACACGTTACGGGGGTGCTTCAGCTGGTTCTATGGATTGTCACTTGGGTGACTCGGTCCATGTATGTCTTTTCTGTGTCTTTTGTGTCCCGGTATGTGTGGTTTACCTTTTGAACAAGTTTAAATTCACTGATATGTGAGTGGTTGACTCTGCAATGTTCACATTGATGGACTAAATGGGTGTGAGCGTGTGTGTGTATGTATGTGTTGTTCCTACTCTCACTGACTGTTTACCTGAAAGAGTTGTCGTTTTTACTTTTTGGTCAAAATAGTGAGGCATACTAGCTTCATAGCGTAGAGAAGCAATAATCATCATGTTAGGTTAAACAACTAAATGTTGCAGGAACCTGGAAGAGACTGAAGATGAAGAGAGGACTATGAACTAATGGGTAGTCTTAATAAGCATTTAACCAACATGATTAAAGTGAAAGACATTGTGGCTCCTCATTAGGGCTGTCAATAGTTTCCTGCTTTATGTGCTTATGCTATTCATGTATTTTTGTTTACAGAATTTGTAGCAGTTGAAAAATTCCACATTTTCTGTACTCTTCTCTTTAGAATTCAGGAATACACTTTGAACCCCTTTTTTCAGAATTCACTAAAATTGCCACTAAAGATTCAGCTGCTGGTCATTGTTTCTCTTTACATTACCCTGAGTTTAAAATGATGGAAAAATGCTAATGTGACAAACCATGTCTATGGCACTCATTTCAGTTGAAGCTGTGGTGACGACTGTTGAATGACTTTAATAACTTGTGAATGCAAAGGAAAAGCCATCTCTTTTATAGACTGAGTCAGGTGAAAATGATCACACTGTGTCTTATTGACAGCGAAACAAAAGGCATTAACTGTCCTTTATTATGAAACAGCTGACAGTGTACCTTGACATTCCTTCAGGTAAGTAATCAATCTGAGCCCGTTCTGCTTAAACAGAAGACCTTAACGTGGACCTAACAT